CATAGTGAAGACAGACCTCTAGGATAGCTGACCAAGACCACAGATATGGGCTAGGGCCTGAGCAGTGTCACCCATGAATTAAACCCCTGCTAGCAGCTGTCCAGAGACACCCACCTTCCTAGAGTCCATCCACTATGACATGGATAGACTTCCCCATCATCCGTGGTCCCTCTTCATCTTTGAGAAGGCTATAAGTACCTTTTAAGCTCATTCTTAACACCAGCTTTAAAGGCAAATTCATAATTCATATGAGGGTCTGAATGGACACATGCTCGTACTACAAACAACTTCAGTAGTCTATAATTTTTATTACATCTGGGACTTCATTTAGCCCCACCCCATACACCTGCATCTACAACCAGAACCACTCCTGTGATTCCCTCATGGTCTTTAAGGATGATGAGAGTATTGAAAACCAGGTACTAGACCAGTCCCTCCTTTTCCTCCTCTGACCTTGTCTCTGCCCTCTAACTTGACCTGTCCTTGGTCCCAGGAGTATGGCTTGTGGGTGGAGGGTGAGTGCAGAAGTCATGAAAGATGAGCCAACTTCTTTTCAGTGAGGCTGAGGCTATCTAGAGAAATTTGTAGACACATCTAATAAAATCCCAGCCATAGTATCCTTAGTAGGACCATAGTCAGCACTTCCTTGCCCACTAAAGTCTTTCTTCATAGGATTTGGTGGTCTGGGTGAGTATGGGCTTCTTGAACAAGCTTCCTTCTGAGACTGTCCCCAACATGATCTCACCTGGAAACTCCATAAGTTTCTTTGTCCAACCTTTCAATTTCTTCTATGTCACTCAAAGACACCCAGGTAGAAATGTACAGTCCTATCAGATACTGGATCCTTGGGCACAAGGTCTACTTCATGTCTCCTCCTTTCAACTTCAGTGGGACCTACAACCCTGTGTCCAGCCCCACCCTTGTATAATAGCCACAGAAACACCCACCCAAGGGCAGACAGTGAACCCCTCAGCTTCCACCAAGTATGCTTCTTCTAAGAGCTGCAGAAGTCTCTGGCCACACACTCAGATGGGCAACTGTGGGATAGATTCATCTTTTTCTAGTGTTTCCTAAAACATGTCCAGGGCAAAGGAAGCCAAATGGGGTACTGCATTTTTGTGTCAGATGAGTTTTTCACTGTCTGTGTTTGGGTCCCTCTCATGGAGGCTATATGTGAATTTTCCCATCTCAATGATCATATGCCTAATGAGGCTATGCAACTGTAGGAGCATGTGCATGTGTGTGTGTGTGCGTGTGTGCATGTGTGTGCATGTGTGTGCATGTGTGTGCATGTGTGTGTATGTGTGCGTGTGTGCATGTGTGTGCATGTGTGTGTATGTGTGTGCTTGCATGTGTGCATATGTTGCCACTCCAGCCACTGCTCTCTTTATCCTGTCTTTTCCTAGCTGGTTGATGATACTGTGCATGCAGTGAGGACTTAGTGATTCTAGCTGAGTGGGAGCAGAGGCAGCAGGAGCACAGCTCAGAGGTCCATGGTTCAGGACATGGGGGAGGCTGCAAGAAAGCCAAGAGAAGATAAGGAACAAAAAGGTCACTCCAGGGCATTCTGAGGGGACAGCAGACAGCACCACAGGTTATGGGGAGTGGACATGCCTTGATCTGCAGCAGGGAGGATCGCCAGCAGCTAAGTTCTCCCTTACCCTGTGACTCCCTTGCCATTGTGCCTCTCCCACTTAGGAGAGGGCTCTAAACACAGTTCTTCATCTCAGCACTTGAGGCAGAAGCAGAGGCAGAGACAGAGAGATCTCTGAGTTTGAGGCCAGCCTGGTCTACAGTGCAAGTTCCAGGACAGCCAGAAATACACAGAGAATCTGTCTCAAAAAACAAAACAAAATCTAAATGAAGTCTAGAGATTAGACAGACAGAATTAGGTGATGGCCTTACAGAACACGGAAATCCCCTTGATACCCAGAACTAGGAGGGTGTGGTGGTGCATACTTGCAATCCCAGCTCTGGGAAGACACACACACACACACACACACACACACACACACACACACACACACGTATATCTGGAACACCCTGGCCGGCCCATCTAATGGACTTGTCAAATTCCCGACCAATGAGAAATCCCGTTCCAAAATGGAAATAAAAGTACAGTGTGTTGGAACTTACCTGTAATCCCAGCACTGGGGAAGAAGAGGCAAGAGGATCAGAAGCACAGGCTAAATTAGATTCCAGCCTGGGCCCTGCGATACTGTCTACAGAAAACAAAAGTAAAGAAAGGGAACACAAATAAGGGGGGAAGGTAAATGGTGCCAGAAAATCAACTCCTTTGTCTCCTGACCCACACATACATGTGCAAAAGTGAATGTACACCAGTGTACCCACACACACTAGCACACACTAATACACATACACACATATACACTCACACAACAGTACACAAACAGACACAGAGAAAGACAGACACACACAGAGAGACAGACACACACAGAGAGAGAGAGAGAGAGAGAGAGAGAGAGAGAGAGAGAGAGAGAGAGAGAGAGAGATTTGGAATTCTGGTTTCTTTAAAAAAAACACACACAGAAATATTATAAGAGTATTGAGTCCCAGGTGTGGGATATGAGGCTGCTTCAGACTATTCACAGCAGCTAACTATGATTTACCTTGTGCTTTGACAGGGGTGTGATTTTGCCAGCTCAGATGGTTTCTGTGATTGTGTGACATCTAGAATTCTGGAGACTTTTCAGAAGGTGTATAAATGCTAAGGCCTGAGAGGGGTGGTGGGTTGTTGGGGGGGAGAGTTGTTTGGTTGTTGGTTTTTGGCCATGGTTTGTTAAGTAGTCATGTGCAAAGAAGAAATAACAAGAAGAAACTAGATATCCTACAGTCCTAATCAGCAGGAAGTAGTTGTCCCATTTCTACCCCCTGACATTATTCAGGGGTCTCTTTCCTTTCTCCTCTATCCTTGTTTTCTCTCTTATGTAGTGTTAGGGGGTTGAAAGGGTGGAAGAAAGAAGAACCCACAAATTAGCAAAGGCCTGGTTACAAGTGGTACCCAGACATGGGACTTGGCAGAATGTGAAATTTGATTTCAAATGCTGTAGATCAAACAGCAGAAGACAAAGGGATGGATATACTTTTTCCAAAACATTGACTACACGATATGACCAAATTTAACTAGAACTGATGCTCTTTATGCCGTCCTCCTGGCTTTAGGGATCATCTGGTTTAGCCAGAGCCCCCTTGTCTTACCCACTTCTGTCAAGATGGAGCCTGAAAGCATGGAGCCATGTGAGTCTCTGACCAATTACAGGAGCAAGGTGGGGCCAGCAGAGGAGCAAAGCAAGAGGAGAGAGACGATCCCAGAGTACATGATGTCCAGTGAGCCAAACAGCCATGATGACCCACAGGAAGGAGACTTAGATAGGTCAAAGGGACTCTCAGACCAGCCTTGACAGTGATCACCAGGGTCAATGGGCACAGGATAGAAGAGACCAGACTTAAGAGTGATCACCAGGGCCAGGGGCACAGGATAGATCAGACCAGCCTTGACAGTGATCACCAGGGCCAGTGGGTACAGGACAGAAGAACTGAGGTCCACAGTTGCTGAGCAGCTCACAGGCCAGGGACAGGTGAGGCTTGCATCTTCCACCATCATAATCAGGAGATCTCGTTTTCTGCAGACTAAATTCCGATGTGCCAAGGGGCAGTGAGTGGGATGCAGCAAAAGTCATGTCCAGGACCAAGACAGGAAGTCCATTGGTACAGCAGGATTTTAACTAACTTTAAAAAGGGACAGGGTATAAACCTGGCATAGAGTTAAGTGAGAAAGCTTCTCTGGAAGAAAGAATCTTCAGAAAATTTGGGCTTCTCATGTACACACAGCATGTGTTTCAGCTCTTGGGAAAGGCACGTGTCCAACAAGGAAACACGTTCTCAAATTGAAAACATGAAGTGTCAGATCCTGGGGCTCAGTTCCTCCCTGGCATGCCTGATTAGTACACACAATTTCCCTCGCCTATATATTACCCTGCAACTCTTGTTAGGCGAAGTTCACCCAGATCCCTGTCTCTATGCACCCCCAATAGTGGAGGACATCCAGCTGTGTAGACATCTGGGCCCCTCTCTGCACCTCTATCTCAACAGCAGAGAAATTTTTCCCTGCGTTTCTCTGAATGTGTTCTGATGATACAAAACGAAAAACAAAACAAAAAAAAATCAAACAGAATTTAATCACTTGTAATAGGAAGGTCCACTTAGAGTCCTTCCCCCACACCTAGGCCCAAGCCATAAGCCAAGACTCTGGATCTCATTCCTGCCTACTGGGATGAGGAGTGAAGCTAGTGACACAGAAGGAGCCCACTGTCAAAAACAGGCTCCCAGCTTGAGGAGACAGGCACGTGGCAGCTTCTGTGTGGAGAAACACCACAGCTGAGGTATTCCAGTGAGGCCCAAGTGCATAAAGCCTTGGCTAAGACCTGCACCCAGCAGAATTGGAGAGTGTGGCAGCCGCTGCCATCTATGGAAGAGACAAGCTTTCCCAGGACTATGGGTACACCAGGGCTTGGTGGGCGGTCATGTGTAGCTGTCTTTTGCCACTTTGTGGGGTCTTCTTTCTTCCACCCATTCAACCCCCTAACACTAGATAGGAGAGAAAGGGGCATAGCAGGGGTTGGTGATGTTATTGATAGACTCCTTTCTGCTGCTTAGGGCCATTGAGTTCTTTGGGGCAAGTTTGATCTTTGCAGTCAGCATATCTAATTTCTTGTTGTTTCTTCTTTGCGAATTACTAACAAACTGTAACGAACAAACAATCAACAACCCTCCACCCCTCTCAGGGCCCTAGCATTTATAGACCCTCTGAAAAGTCCCCAGAATTCCATGCTGCCATTGTTGTTTTCATTTCACATTGCTGTAAAGGGAGTGGATGCCCAGAGAGTTTAAACATGTGGCCAAAGTCACACAGCTTGTCCTTAACTCTGTGATTCTCCAGGATTCCAGGCAACTTGAACCCAGAGACTATACACTGAACACACTCCTCTGGGCTGTAGATGTTCAATGTGTTCTTTAAAGGTCAGCCTGTCACCCGTGAGATCAGCATGCAAGCAGCTGAGGCACTGTGCCAAAGACACACACCTGCAGGCATGTAGACCAAGTACATGGATGTGAGCTGGGGACGAGACCCTGTAACTTGCCAGTTAGCCCCTGGCATCACTTGACCAGACACAGCTACCTTTCTGGATGCCCTCAACTTCTCTGACACTGGCTGACCCCTCCACTCTCAGTGAGCCCTCTGTCTTTGAGAAGCCCACAGGGGTGCTCCAGCTTTACAGGAGGCTTCAACATCTATGCCAGGCTGATTGGACTCACAATGGTGCTGGGGACAACCTCAACAGTCTACAACTTCAGTTATATTTGGGACTATATAGTCTACCCTAATGGAGTGGCAGAGGCCTAGACACACACTATCAGCTATGTACACACCATTGTCTATAATCCTGAGGGGCTGGCCACAGCACCCACCTACTTACAAATATCTACCCCAACCTAGAGCATCACTGAATTGGCCTGGATGTGGCATGTAGGCCCTCCCACTCTCTCACCTGCTTCCCACTAATAACTTCACCCACAAGAGACAACTAAGACTCTGACATAAAAGTCAGCTTTGTTCCATGTGAAACAAAATATTGCACACATTTGAAAAACGGTGGCAGTGTAGCATTCACTCTAGGGTTACCCTGAATGTGAGGTGTGTGTCTGCTCATGTTGGGGTTGAGCGGACTAGTGCGTGGGGGGTGGGGGGAGCAGAAAATCCCATGGAGGTAAGAAATATTCACTGCCAGCACTTTGAAGCAGTCCACAGCACCATCTGGGGATGCTCAGTGTGTTTCTTGGTTAAAAAGTGATACCACTGAGGAATGCCGGCACTATTAGCTTGACATCAATCACAACAGAATAAGGCCACTGGGACCAGATGAGCAACTTTCCCAGGGTCTGCTCCATTTGGCCCTCTGTAGACTGACAGTTGTTAGGTCTTCAGAGACACAAGCTGTCTCTGCTCCATGGTTAAAACCCAGAAGACCAACTGCAGCCTGGCTCCCTAGAAAACCGGCTACTAGCAGCTGGCTCTAGATAGGGTCTATGTTGAAGATTCCTGGGCCAAGGGAGGAGGCTTCTGTTCCAATTCTCACTCCCCACCCCCACCCTCATGCCTCTAAGCACAAAGAACAGCTTCCAGACCTTGAAACTTGAAGGTATCACCAAACTCTAGTGCTCAAGGCACTACCTGGTCCCACCCACTCAGCACTCTCTGGAGTAACTGGCAGCCTTCTGCTTCAAAAGGAAGTGGACCCAGTTTCTGCTTTTTAGCAACCCCTCAAAGAACAATTGGGGTCACAGGTGTAGCTACTCTACAGGTGTAGCAGATCCATCTCATAGCTGAGCAGTTGTTGCCCGAGGTTGGCAGATCATCAAGAGCTCTCATCTGGGCCGGGTGAGGAAACCCAGGGAGGCCAGGGATGGAAACTAGAGCTTTGTACAGTGATTTGTCATCTTTGCTTCTGTTCTTAAGAGTGTGTGTGTGTGTGTGTGTGTGTAGGTATGTATGTGTAGATAGGTATGTGTATGGGTGTGTATGGTGTGCTGGTGTGTGTGTATCTGTGTGTGTGAGCTGTATGTATGTCCATGTATGTGTGTATGTGTGTATCAATATGCATGGAGGTATGTGTATGTGTGTGTGTAAGTGAGTGTGTTATGTATGTGTATGGTATGTTTGGTGTGTGTATGTGTGT